ACGTTTAGACGTTTATGGTAAACATACAACCTTTCATCCACATTTTTCATAGTGTGGGCATCACCAGATTAATCGTATATTAACCACAAATTGTAATTATCTTTTAGTTGGTATAAATGTTATTGTAATTGTTAAACTCTTGTTTTTCAATAAAATTATTTCTAGTTCTATTTCTATCTAAACTTTCGCATTTATAATATTAGTAAGATTAGTTTATGTTGGAGAGTAGATCATTGAAGTTTTTTTTCATCTATACAAAAAATACAGTTGTTAATACGACACAATAAAATAAAATATACTATTATAATATTGTGTTGACTCTGATAATAAACTTTATTTACTATTTTAAAGTACCTTGCAGGTAGAAAACTTAACTTAACTAAAATTCATATTGGAATAAGCAGAACTAACCATATGAGACTTTACATTACATAATATGCGTTTAGTATTTTAATTAATATAATTTGATATATCAGAAAACCAAAAGTCCCTTCGACAATGAAGGATAAAATTTACCTATTATTTTTTACAATCATACTAATATCATAAATGCGAAAGTTTAGATGGATGGATGTTTGTTAGAGTTCGTAGCCTAAGCGTCTGAACGGACGTCGATTGTATTTTGTATAGATGTCGAGGATAGTCTGGAAGAACACATAGGCCACTTATTTTTTTGATTCCACGCGGACGGAGTCGCGGACGAAAGCTAAATATCTTAAAACGGTTCAACGGTTGTTCTCTACGTTCACTTAACAAGGCGTATCCTTGGAATGTCCGGGGCGTTTCCGTTGCTTATGAACATGCATTATACATACCATACTCGTATAATATACAAACATGCACTTAAGGTAACAAAGTTATAAAAACAATTGTCAAAATGTTAAAACACATCCGTGTGGGTGGGGCATATTTTGCATATAACAAGGGTTACTGCTTTCTCTTTTATCCTCTTAGAGTCTTTAATTTACTAGAGATCAAACATTTGTCGAAATTTAACCATAAATAACCAAAGATTTGAAAAAAATAACTTTATCCACTTTTTATAAAATTTAATTGTATCTAAAAATAAATAATAAAATTGATCTTTTCTGATATTGAAGTTTATATTAATAAGAAAAGTCTTATTTCCTTATTTATTTTTATAAAAATAAACAGTAACATTGCATACATGGTTAGTACTACTTGTATTGAATTTCCTGCCGAGGGAATTAGACGCATCTCGTACAATTGTCTAGGGCTCCCTGAAGATAAACACAGTCGTATCTATTGGTTCCGCGTGGCAATGATACAAACAGTTACATTGTGGTCTAAGTCGCAAGATTTTGAATTTAAATATTATTTATTATTTCTCTTCTTAGTATAACGTCGTTAATGAATGATATTTGATGATTATTGCACTTGCCCATAATTGGCGTACGTCCTTATTTGTATATTTCCTAGAAGCAACCATTTAGGACTAATTAGATTATTTCTCAAAGATTTATTATGTACTTCAATATGCATTTATATCGTTTATTATAGTATATAAAAATAAAGAACAAAAACCTCAAGAACTATCCTTAGTAAAATAATATACGTAAAATTTATCTCTACCGCTTATAACTTGTGGCATGCTGTAACATCTATTTGCCGGCAACCGAGGTCTTGTCATGGCCTGCCTATAAATCCGCCTGCACCTTTATTACGTCGAGCGTACATCGGATGCCTTAATACACCTGAAATTATTGTAATTTTCTAAAGAAACTAAATTTTTTGTGAAATTGTTTGTGTATGATTTTATATTTTTGTCTAATTCTGTTTGACAAAACAGCTACATTATTAAACGAAGCGTTTGAAAACTCCAGTTCTTTTTGTGTGTGTTAGGGACATTCTTGAGGCTGGTTGACAATGTCAGGCATCGGTGGGTTTCAGATATTTTGTGACGGTTATCGCGTCATTCCACTTGATCAATCAATCGTTGATAACAGTTATTTGTTACTTCAAAATCTGAAATAATAGAATTTATTTGATAAGATAATTAAAAACAAAAATCTTCAATCCGAAAGTTTAGATGGATGGATGGATGTTTGTTAGAGTTTGTAGACTAAAGGGGTAAACCGATTTCAATTAAATTTGGTACAGATGTAGAGGATAGTCTGGAAGAACACATAGGCTACTCATTGTTGTTTTTTTTTAATTTCACGCGGACGTAGTCGCGAGCGAAAGCTAGTATATAATAATTCGTAAGATATAAGACATATTTCAAGAAAGTTTTGCATTAATATGTGTAAGAGATGGAATAGTTTGTCTAATTCCCAGAAGAATCTAACGTTAACATAGGTAGGTTATTTTTAACTGATATTATACTGTGTTTTGTTACTCAGTTACTATAGAAATAGGTGAGGTCACAGTTACTTTGGTTTAAAACAATAAATTCCGCAATAAAAGACCGCCTGTGGCTTAGTTCTGGCGGATATGTGATACGGATTCCCGCTGCCTGTTATTTACTGCCCAACCTTCATGATAAATTATCTAGAAACATATTGATGTATGTCACCTACAGATCGGGAATGCCGACTGTTTTAAACTTGACAAGATAAATTATAAATTTGAAAAATCGTATATCATTTGAATAAACTCTATTTCGTGATTATATTTTTCTCAACCGCGTAGAGACAAATGACTTAAAATAATTTCAGTTATTCAAATCGAGACATTTTAATCAAAATTTTAGTAATAAAACATTGCGATATAGTCTCGAATTAATAAACAATGAATACAAATAACGCCCACAGGGTGTTCAAATTTTAATAGCCGTAATAAATTCATTTTAATTCGATGCTAAAATAAATACGATTTGTTAAAATTCAAATATAAAGCGTTGCGGCAACAACGAAATTCGCAAACCGCGTGACGGATCTTAGACGAATATGGACAATTATATAATAGTTTTAATGAAATCAATAGCATCCATACGCCAATTATGTAGTTTCTGGCAGGTTTGAAACGAGGCATTTATGTCGATTTTCACACAAGGCGTGTTGGAATTCACGCGGAATAATCCTGCTTACCTTCAACGCAATTCTACGGTTACATTTTTTGTGGATGACACTAGTTTTATAAACGTCTTAACAATGATATGTATTGATTATTATACGCTTAATATAACAAAACAATTAACTGCCGCACGCAGTTGTTTATGTTAATAGAAAAAAAACACTAAGTAGCTATTTGTGCTCGGTGCCCTTCAATCCGGTAATAATAACGAAGTAACGGCTCTTGCTGAGGCTCCTCAGGGACCCCTCAAGCTTAGTTACTCATAAACGACTAAGCGCCATCTGCGCTCGGCCATCTCAAGCCCGGTGAATCTGTAAATCCCTCCTCAAGGCAAACAGTGGCCTTTCAGTCACAAACCTAGCTATATGAGTGGCCTTTATATGACCCTGAGTATGTTAGGAATATTTAAAACAACACTTATTAAGCCAGTAAGAAACAATTATACCCCCTTCTTAGCCATGTGACGTCTATTGTCTGGGTTGGCCTCCCCCAAGGATCGCCATGATGAATAGAATTACCCGAATTCCTTTATTACTTTTATTACCTCCAAACCTTTAATGTCTTTTAGGAATTCAATTCAAGTAAATATATTGTTGAGTTAGACAGTAAATACAGGATAAAGCTTTATAAAGTACGGAGATACGGTTTCCTATTGCAACAATTTACTAGGATTGTGGTAGGATGTAGTATTTAATGCACACAGCGGATACACTCGGAGCGGAACTACTAACTTGTACTGTCAGGATTAAAAATGGTACCGATTTTAATTCTTTTTTAACGACACAAATTATTAAAAAAATGTGAAACATTTCAGCCATCCATCATTACCAGCTGTAACTCGTGACTTCGCCAGCGTGAAATTAAAAAAATAAAAAAAAATAACGTAGTTTTTTTAACAATACCAAGAGTATAATAATACAAATCTTTCCTCTTTATAATATTAGTATAGATTATAATTCCAATTTCAGTTTAGGAACCTCGAATAAAATATTAAAAAACATAATAAAAAAGTTCAGTAGACAAAAGAAAATACTTAAAGATATGCAATAAAAATAATTTACCAGTACAATAAAATAGGCGTATAAGGCAACACAGCAAATTAAACACTTTTCGTAGTTATAAATATTCTTTGTACCGTAAATTGGTAATGGAAACCGATTACCATTGAGTTGAGAGTTGTAAATCTTTTAAACAATGTAATGTGATGCTACTGTATTCGTACGGCGGTTTTTTATTTTAGTTTTTTACTGCCAGTGTGCATCCTTTAAATGTGTTGCTAGTGTTGTGAAATTCCCCAATATTTAAGTTTTTTTTAAACTCTTTAATTAAAACTATCATCGAATTACAGTAATTATAGTTAGAGTAGAATATCTCTATCAGTATGATTTAATTTTAAAGAAAAGTGGAAAGTCCACTTTATAAAAAAAAACTCAAGGAAGAAAACGTACACACTTGTACATTAAAAATAAGTTTGTTATATTGAATTGTACTTACATATTTTTAGTGATTTTTCGACACTAGCCTTTGAATTCCTACTTCACTTGAAACACTCAATATCCTTATCAGAGATCTACATTTGGACAGTCAGGTTAATTAACGGTATCCGCTGTCGCTGCTTCGATACGCGTCATGCAGTGTTGACCTTTGTTTGACATTTCACATCTCCCTGCGTACAAAATGCCGAATCCGTGACGCCTCGGACGAGATAATCAGAACATGACTATTAGCTTAAATTCACTAAAGCAAATTAGATTTAAATATCAGTAGAAAATTACGTAACAGATCATCAAAAATGAAACAAACAAATGTTACCGGATGCATTAACCTCAAACATCATATTGGTAGTATTACAAAAAGGCGGGTTTAACAAATGTTCGGTAACGTAAGCATTTAGACACAAGTTTCTTTGGGTGTGATATTTTCGTGTTGTTTTGTTTATTGATTCGTGTTTTGTTTGTTTCCAGGGCAAGTCTGTGATCCGTCCGATAGCGTTCAAGCCACTGGGCGGGCGGCTGTCAGCGGGCGGCGAACGCTATGGCTCCACTCCAGTTCTCGCCAGTAGACCGCCTTCACTCATGACTCTATACGGCAGTGAGTACTTCGAACCAATGCATTATTCTCTTTATATCATTTCAAACTGGCCAATCAGGAAGTGTTCACTTGGTATGGTTAAATTAGTGACGCTGCATTGACTTCTCCGCAATAAATTAAAAGGATGCAGAAGTTGACTTACTTAATGAACAAAGAAGATGCACAGAAAGGGGATATTTGTCTTAACCGTACATCTTACCCTCAAAATCAATTCCCTGCCCATCTTTCACTTACGCCTTTTTTCAACAAAGTCTTATTCTTAACTAACTGGCTACGTTGCCTCAATAAACTCCACCACACAATAGCTATCAACGAAGGCTTTATTTTTTTTATAATGCAGCAATTATTAATCTTTTGTTTGTACTTATAAACAATATAGTCTCATTATAAGGTCTTTTTTTTATAACATAAGGTGGCAAACGAGCAAGCGGCCACACGAATCCGCTAAAATGGCGAAGTGACCGCTGCTCATAGACATCCGCAATTGCAGATGCGTTGCCTACCCTTATCCGATGGAGGAGGAGACGCACATAAAAAGGATATTTCCCCTTCCTATGCATCTCCTCCACTGTCAAATCCACTTCTCTTACCCATTCTCTCCCTATGAGAAAAGGTTGGTAAGGAGTAAGGGACTTAAATTAGGCCTCCGGCACCACACTCATCAGACGAAACACGGAATTACTTCCACTTCACGCCTGTCTTCTGTGTGGTCGTGGTATTACACCGGGCGTGCCGGCCCATTCGTGCTAAGATGTTAAAGCAGGCACTACCACTGTAACTGTTATTTCATCAGGTTCATCAGACGTGCGTGAGGCGCGTTGGTGTGGGTCACCACAGCCGGCGTCGCTGTCGGCTCTACCTCCAACCACGCTCTCCACACCGCTGCATCAGAGACACCACTCCGCTATCGTGTGAGTACATTACTTATTGTTACAGCCAAGGCTCTATTTGATAGGAAAGGCACATATCTGGGAAGAAATTCAAAGCTGTGTGTGTCGTCAAAGTCATGCACATTATCTCGTGTGAAGGTATAAATAGCTGTTGCCCGCGACTTCGTTTACGTTAAATTTAAAAATTTAGCTTATGTTACTCAGCGATAATAACAATACTAGTGTTAGGGTAGGGCACCTTTGGTCGTCAGCCCAGGGCGCTGAATATTTACTTTTTTTAATTACAGTCTCATATATGAAGGGTCACAGGCAAGGCTATGTTATTTTATTACGTTAGTTAAAAGGGGGGCCCGTATAAACGCCCTGGTAGTGCTAAACCCGGCAATGCATGAGGTTAAATAGTATTAAATGACAAAGCAATATCAAACTTTAAAATCAAAAATACCATACATACGAAGTACCCCTATATACTTCGTATAGGGTGAGTATATAGGGGTGCGTTTAAATAAATACCCACATATAATTAATTACACGCGATGATTTATAAATAAAGATGGATAAAGAGGGAAATCGTTACAATACGATGCGGGTAATAATTATTATATTAACTAAGAATGCTTTACGTTATCTTGTCTATGAAAATATTGTACATACAAAATAATTTAAATGATACATGTAGGTATTTAAACTTTGAACACCGTCAGTAGATTTTCATCCTAAAATGCTGGGGTTTTTCGAAACATACTTGAATTTATTTCAATATGAATTTTAAATAAGTTTTACGTAAATTAAAAGAGTAGATGATAAAATGGACACCGACCATAGACTATAGAAGATGTACCTTTCAGTTGACAATGTTTTATGTTAATTTAAATCATGCAATTTTCAAAATCTTATTCTATCCACGTTTTTATGTGGGTGAATGTAAATTATTATCCGATTGAAAATTCTGGTCAAATTCTCGATTTTAATCAGATTTTACGAGCAAATGCATTATAAAGTACCGATATATAAATTGATGTAAATGTTGCCATACTTGACTTATAAAAAATAGAGTTCTTTTTAACATAATAATATAAAAACTGCCAGACATTATTTGATGTAAAAACCAACAAAAATTTCGTTATGCCTTACATCACATACTTTCTCATGTACTTATTAACCGCGAGATTAACGTTACGTCAACTATTAAATTAGTTCCAGTTAATATCACGAGTAATAAAAGCGAAGCATCATAGCTAAGATTGTTGCATACTTTTAAACAATTTGTTTTGTTGATACTATCGTTTTTAACTCAGAGAAACACTTCTTCAGGATCGCGCGCGAATATCAATCCTTCTAATGACATTGACAGCTGTCAGTTAGAGATGTGACGTTGACGTTGCGCCGATTTTACAGCGCGGTACTAATTTTCTTCTTAACAATACATAATGCACGTGTTATATTATTGGTCACACATTAGTCGAACTGTAATCATAATTTGTTTGTTGCTTTGATCAAAATGTATATTTTTATTATGTCAACGTGAATTTTAATTGTCGTGTTACAACTCGAAAGAACAAAATTAGAAATTACTAACTTTAACCCGCGACTATGTCCGCATAGAATTAAGAAAATAAAATTAAGTAGCCTGTGTGTTCTTCCAGACTATCCTCTACTATGCCAAATTTTATTGAGATCTGTTCAGCAGTTTTGGCTACAAACTCTAAAAACATCCATAAACTTTCGCATTTATAATATTAGTAAGTTAATTTATAAGAAAGAGAAATACAAACCAACATTGTTCCGTTATGCAACATTAGGGTAATTCGGTTTGAACCCTGAACGGTTTTCGACCATATATACGATTCTCAAATTGAGTTGCCCTAAAAAGCGTTCAAATTCTGAACTCTGCAATTCTAAATTGGCCTTTGACCAGAGCAATATGTATAATACTAGTTTTCGCCCGCTACTCCGTCTGCGTGGATTTAAAAAAAATCAAAAGTGATTATGCGTTCTTCTGACTATCCTCTACATCTATACTAAATTTCATTGAAATCTGTTGAGCAGTTTAGACTACATACTCTAACAAACATTCATCCATCCATCTAAACTTTCGCATTTATAATATTAGTATGATTGATAGCAGTATTAGAGTAAATCGACTGTGATATGTAAGTCAACTGTACCAGCCTTTTGCCTATTTTACCTACATTAAAAGTAATTAATCAATCATCAACATGAGTTACGCCCGCAACCCAAATGAGTAGAGTCACCTCTCTCTCGCTTCCTTAATAACAAACCCCTTAGCAACGCATACCCGTATTGGGTAATCTTGGTATTGCCCTTCTTGAATATATCATCAATCTTGACGGTATACAAGTCTGGGACTGGGACCAACAAACACTCGCTTTCGGGTCATAAATTTTCTTTGTCACATACGTTATTATTGTTATTGACATATCTCTCTCTCTCTCCCTCTCTCTCTCTCTCTCTCTCTCACTCACTCTCTCATTCCCTATTAAAACAGAAATTACTATGTTTTCCATAGATTATAGTTAAAGGAACAAAGTTTATAAGTGTTTCTTTAAACAGCTCTCGCATAAAACGATGTGAAGAACAGACAGATAACATTTGTTTTCACCAACATAAATTTCTTCAGCTTTATTAAACAGTACAACATTTAACATCAGCTAGCTTGTGCACTATCTTTCATTAAAGTGTAATTAAAATTATTAACGCGACGTTCTCGAGTTGCCTCTCGCCACTTTAGTAATTTGTGAATGAGTGAAGGAACTGCGGCGATAAAATGCTGCTGTACAAAGTACAGTCGTATTGGAATTAATAATGATAGAAATTTTTAAATATATTTTTACTTTTAGGTATTTCTTAACATATTTTTAGTGTAATTTATTTACTACGGTATCAACAATTAAATTAGTAATCACTAACCTTTAGGCTTAGACACTTAGCTACTCTTCCTAAAAGATAGCTGTAAACAATTTCAAATTTTGATGTATCTATATCTATGCTAATATTATAAAGAGCAAAAATTTGTATTTTTGGATTTTTGTATGTATTGAAATAAGTCAAAAACTACTTGGTCGATTTCAAAATTTTTTTCACCATTAAAAATCAACATTATCAGGGAGTAACATAGGCTGTATTTTTTAATTTCACGCGGGCGAAGTCGCGAGCAACAGCTAGCGTGTATTTTACGTATTTTAAAGCAACGCTTTACTAACGTTCTAAATATGTAATACTATTACATAATACCTAATTTATATAATATCATTAACTTTCTCAGAGATGAAAGCATTATCAATAAATCCAAAAACATTGTAAAAAATAAATTAAGAAATCATTTCTTACAGGATTAATGTAACTAGTAAATATATAATAATTAAGTAGGAGATACATTAACGTATATTTATAAGAAATGGGTGTTTGTCGCCAACAAACTGCTGTGCAGTTTGGCGACATTTTTATTTGTAAATTTTTATATATATTTTTTTCTGTATGTAAATAAAAAAAAAAAAAAAAATATTCACCCTTCATTAATCTTGCGATCTATAGCAATGGACAAAAAGCAACATTTTAGCCCCGGCACGTGCCGATGCAGCCACATACGGGACGGACGCCGTGCGCGCCGCGCGTACTCTTGCGTTATTGTGTTGAAAAATTACTACAGTTATACGTGAAATATAGATTGGGTTTTTAGTGTTTGTGTTCGTTTAGTGATGACGTAATTAAGTGTTTGCGGTTACTCCGTACACATGTATAAGTAAGTGTAACATTCGCGGTATTTTTCAAGATGAAGAATTTTTTTCCTTTAATTTAAAAGCAATTTTAATGCTTTATATGCTAATAACTTATGCTTATATAAAATGGGATTAAGAATCGTCTAATAAGTTAAAGTAAATTACTCATTAAGAGTATGTGAAATTTATTTTTAATTTTATTGATGACTAGCTTTCGCCCGCGACTCCGTCCGCGTGGAATTAAAAATAAAAACACAGTCAGTAGTCTAAGTGTTCTTTCAGACTATCCTGCCAAATTACAATGAGACTCTTTCAGCAGTTTAGGCTACAAACTCTAACAAACATCCATCCATCAAAACTTTTGCATTTATAATCAAACATAAATCTCCGAAAAATGTCAGGTTCCCGAGGCACGCGTAGTTTTTTTTATTATTTGCATAGTTAGTCTGTTTTCTAATACCACGCGAACGAAGTCGGAGGCAACAGCTATCACTTATATTTAAGAATATGGATAGAATAATGTTTTATTTCATTTGCACATTTAAAGCTAATTAACCATTTTATAAGAGCTATTTTTGACATTATTTGTTGTACTATGCGTATCGTTTAATGTGAACCTTTCTAACAAGACATAATCAGCCCCTTAACGAAGCAATTACTCCCACGGGATTGTTCCCTAAGGAAGTGTTTCATTATCTTCAGTCCCTATGGGGTTAAACATGAAACCGACAACAATATTACTGAGTCACATTTTAATGAAAGTTTTATAATTCTGGTTTTGAAAAATTAGCTTAATAATAATAATAATAATTTTTTTTTAAATCATGTGAAATATGTTATATATAAAAATAAGAAAATAAAGACATGAGAAGATAATAATAATTATTTAATTCAGATATCAAAGATCCATAAGGTGTTTAAGCCCGCGAATTAAATTTTAGACTAAAACAAAAGAAAAAAGCCTATATGTTCTTCCACAGTATGCTCTACATACATATATGTACATATGTGTCAAATTTCATCTAAATCCGATCAGCAGTTTAGGCAGTAAACTCTAACAAATATCTATCCATAAAAACTTTCGCATTTATAATATTAGTAACATTAAAAAGTAACTGTTTTTTTATAGATTGTCAAGATAAAGTACAAGTATACGACTTTTAATCAATTATGAAACCAAAGTTTATTGCCGATGTTTTTTAAAATTGCAGTATTTTCCGTAAACCGCACCTATTCGTCCGCACTTTATTCAAACTACAAAAAACTCCGATGAATCAATAC